TTAGATTCCATAGGCGAGTAATTCTGGGCTACTCGACTTTCTGAAAACGAAGCCCACAATCGCGGACGCTGCGATGGTCGTGCGCGTAAAAGCCATCAAAGAGGCGAGTTTCGACCCGGGAAGGACAAAAAGCAAACCATCCACTCCCTTACTTTTTACCGGACTCCACTGATCGAACGCAGAAACTCAGACTAGTCAGATAGTACCTGGCTCTTTATCAAGACATGCGATCGATCCCAACGCTTTCATTACATTGACTGGGCAAGAGGGAAACTATGGATTTCACATAACAGATGATTGACTTCACGGCAGAGTGGTTGTTAATGAGATTCTATTCTTCTGCCAGTTTGAATAGTATTCATTTCTCATTAAGGATACTTGAAAAGACATCAATCAGCGTATTTCATCTCACAAATCCTTTGCATCTTATCAAGAAAGTTAGCAAATATTTCTTCAGAGCGATTAGATAAAAAAAATCTTATAAACCGTATTAAGTATTTGTGGCGCGAATGACACGTTCAATACTTTTATTTTCAACACACCAAACATCGTACGTTTACGAATAATTTCATAATTATGTAATTCAATCAATCTTTATTTCTGCACAAATAAGTTAATACCAAATCTAACAATTCAGCCGTGATCAGCATAAAAAAGTGAACACTAATCTAATTCATGTAAAAATCAGAATCAGCCACAATGGGGGTGGGAAAAATGTCTGATTTTTTAAATACTCCATCAACAGCAATTGCAGAAGTTTCGCATCTATTTCGCTGACTAACATATCAACACGATTTACTGCGATATCGAGAATGATCAAGGCAATCAAGGATCGTCAATTTTCTGCCTGATCGCTGCTACCTATCACAGGAGAATCGCCCGTGAACCCGGCTTGCTATCGATCCGGATTGTTAATCATTATCGCAAGTGGAATCCGTTCTAACTATAAGCTACTTTATACTCATCTCCTCTCGGTCGATCGTACTTCATGGCGGATTCGTTCCTCCGATTTCCATCGTCCCGAATGGTGGTTGAAATCGATACCCGAGATCAGCAAAGATATCTGCGCGGTATTCCCCTGTTGCCGAGTTATTGGACCGGGGTAATCGCGAATTTATGCGGTCTGTTTAATGAAATTTGTGCTTTCGCTCGATCGAACCGGCTCGAGATCCCACTCGAACACAGCTACGGTATTATATTTTTGTTTCCACTCGGCTTTAGACGTCGAATTCCTGCCCGAGCAATTCGATTAAGTGACGCTGGAACCACGCACGATTCCGTATGCGTTCGATGTAGTTTATTGGGTCAGCCTGGTGACATAATAATATCGCTTTCGTTTTACTCTTTCCCAGAATAGAAAGCTAAGTATACAGATCAATTTTTATCCTCGTAGCTATTAATAATAAATATAGATACTTTTATGTCGGTATTAAAAGCAAACGCTTTTACTCATTGTTAGATGCAAACGAAGGAAGTAATAATAATCTATCAAGCCTACCAATTGAAATTAGAACCAATTCTCGTTATATTTTAACCAAGCGAGTAAATGTATGACGATATTTCCGTTGACGTTTTCGTACAATAATTTTTCGAAATAACTGATGATGGCGTACAGAAAGCGGCCACTTCTCCCACTGCCGGTAATAAATCATCCTTTATGGCCACGTTTGTACAAGAATATTTCTTGTAGAAACACATCCGCACTTCTACGCGTGAACTTTTAGCGTAAGCGTTCCCAACGCTCGTGTTGCTCTGTCGCTGCAACAAAATGGGAACGGTTTGTTTTACAGCGTATACCATTACCGCGAAACAATCATAAACAATTTCCGTGCGCGTCTATTATAAATCTCTTGGTTTGCGACTTTATACGCGCGTACACCAAACCACTGTCAGCAGTAAAAACATTTATTTCTCCTTTATTGCTATGCACAGTGCGATTCAATAAGGATATTCACATAAAGTAATCTAACAAAAAGCCTTGAGA